ACAAACCACAATATGGCAAGCTGACAATGGTCAAGAAATCAAAAGATGTGTTGTCCTGGGAAAATGTGCTGTCAAGGGCTATCAAGGAAATCATGGGATAGCAAGTGTCTCAGTTTAAAGACTAAGGTGCAACTGGCCAAAGCCATGGTATTTTCAATTGCTTATTATCCAACCCAAAGTTGAACAATGAATAAGGGAGACTGAAAAAGAAATTGGTGCCTTCAAATTGTAGTGCTAGAGAAGAGTATTGAATATATAATGGATTGCCAAAAGAAAAATCTCAGAGGAAGTGCCAATTTCATTTTACTTGGATCCACAATCATCATCCATTATAACAGCTAGTAAAAGGTGGAGGATCAGCAAAAGAGAGGACAATCCTCAGTGAAATGGATTGACAGTGACTGCAAGAAAGGGCGTGAACATGGAGATTGTGAGGATGGCCCAGGATAGGGCAACGTTCGGATTCATTGTTCAAAAAGTCACTATGCCCATGTGGGAGATGATGTGTGCCCGCTGGCTGCCTGCACTGGGGGATGGCGCGCACCCACCCCCAACAGCTGCCCGCACACAAGATGACGCGTGCCTGCCAGTTGCCCATGCGCAAGATGACGGGCACCCACTGGCCACCTGCGTGGGAGATGATGCACGGGAGATGGCGAGCACCCGCCAGTCACCCACTCTGGGGGGTGGTGCGCACCCGCCGGCCGCCCGCACGGAAGATAGGGCGTGCGCCCCACCCCCCACCCGTCTACAGGTTTGAGTTTCCTTGGAAAACCAGAGATGATCACCTATACAATGGATTGCTGAAAGTCACTGTGAGTTGTCTACTTGATGACACTTAACAGTGGCAGCATGTCCAAGAGGACTGACATCCTAAATGCACCACATAATTTGATCGGTTGAATGCTTCTGCCAAAAGCTGTTTAGACCTGGGGGGAGCCTGTTCACAATTCTCAGGTTCCCTTTGCCATTTATAAAGGGGGAGGGCAGTGACACCTACTTCAAATTATAGTATGACCACTTATGGGGGGGGAGTGGTGGTGCTGGAATTGGAGATGCTGTCCCTGGCCACAGAGTCCTTGGCCAGGGGAAGGGACCAGATTGGGGGGGGGCAATTAGAGGGGGAGTGTACCAGCCAGCCCACTGGGGGTGCTACCCTGCTCAGGACGGGCTGTCTTCGGCCCTCAGCTCGGGGTGAGCCGTCATGGCCCTCTGCCCGGGGCGGGCCGTCTTCGGCCCTCGGCCCGGGGTGGGCCATCTTCGGCCCTCTGCCCGGGTCGAGCCATCATGGCCCTCAGGGTGAGCTCCTCAGTCCCCAGATTGTGCCATCTGACCCCTGGATAGGAAAAAAAAATGCCTAGGGTATCCAGAGAATTTTATCTAGGCTACTTTCTGCCATCCTCTCCCCCAGTAAACCTGAAAGCAACACCCCCAAAACCCCTCTATTTGTAACTCACAAGTTTGTTCTCTCTAGGTTTGCTCCCTTTCCTATAGGTAACCTTACAACTGAGTTTTACTTCAGACCTGACCCTGAACCCAGTGCCAGTGACAAAAAGGAAATACAACTGCCAGCTAAAGAAGCAAAGGAGGATGGAGCCTCTGGGTTCAATCAGCCATCCCCACTGGACCCACCTGGGAAAACACTTTGCAGTCCAGAGGAGAGCAAATGACAGGAAAATATCTTCTAACAGAACAAGAAGGCAAGCAGCCTTAACCCAAGATCACCAGTAAGGTGATAAAGTGTCCTCCCTTCCCCCTTCACATCAATGCCCCTGTTTAGCATGAAGAAGCCAGAGAGTCAGCATCCAGTTCCCAAATCAATAAGACAGTTGATTTAATTACCATTGGAAAATGCTTGTCATTTTCCTGTAGCATCTGGTCCCCACTGGATCCTTTTTATTTCCTTCACCTGCTCCCCCCACCAACCAATTTCTGCAGCTCTGCAACTGCATCCCTGTCCATCCCCACCCTTCTGCCCCCAACCCTCACCTCCTCGTACCCCCAATATGCTTTGTCCCAATAAAATAAAAAAAGGGGGGGGGGAAAGTCACTATGGTTGTAGTTGACTCGATAGTACCTCACAACAACAATATATAGCATATTCAGCATGGGGAGGGCAGAGACACATGGATGCTATGTAGGAGGAGAAAAGGATTAAATGTATGTGAAGCGTCTTCACATCTTGCAGGAGAAATGAGAAATCAAACGAGTAAAGTGAGACTCCTAAGTAGACTAAAGGGTACAGAATGATTTCAGAGGGCAGCAGATGACTGAAGGAAAAGGACGCTTGCTCATGGAGAAGCTGGACCAGGATGAAAAGGGTATGAAACTTGTACAAAGGTTGGGAAAGGAATAGGGGAGGTGAGATGTAGGTAGAAGTGACTGATTGCACCACCACTTCCAAAGAGACTGAAGATTCCAAGGTAAGAATGAGAACTCTGTTCTGATGTTCAGCACTAGCGTATCTGAAAAGTAGATGAAAATAAGGCTAAGGCTATAGAATGGGAGACTGTCTCAGTAATGGAGGAAAGACCAGCAGCTATTGAGGAACTGTCCTTGGTTCTGACCAAGCCCATCCCACTCTATGTTGGACAGAGGAAGGGAGATGAGTACAGAGACAATACTAGCTTCTGCCTTTCTCTAGGCCATGATACCTCCCTCAACTCCACGCTCTGCTCCATTGTCTATAGTTTTTCCCAATTATGTGCAAATGAGATTGTCTGTAGACCCACACAAGAAGCCCTACTCCATTTCTCCCTTCCTAACTGGATCCTGGGTGGGGTGCTAGGACTCTGGAAACAGCTTTTCTAGCCTTTGCCTTAGCCCACTCTGGGGTTTGGTCTCCAGCTGCTTCATCTGCTGACACATAGTTCAACATTTGATCAGTGTCTCCTGCATCAACAGTTGTGGAGTCAACATAAGAGAGCCACACTGTGGGGAGACTGTGGTAAGGCATAGGCCAAAGGAGTCCTGAAGACAGAGCCAGAATTAAAGGTTCTGCTTACTGGCCAATTGAAGAAAGAGCTGACTTGTTACTGCTATGAGACAAAGCTTGCTGAACAACTGAGGAAACCAGAGGTGTCTTGTATTTGTGTTGCTGGACTGAATCTGGACTTTGACTTGAGACTCTGTCTGAATCGGCTTGCTATTTAACTGGTGTGGGGCTGCTGGACTTTTACCATGTGATACCCTTTGTCTCCCTTTTTCTATTTCCCTAACCTCACAACTTTTGCAATTAATATCACACCTGATGATTGGTTTATGTGGGTGTACTGGAGATTGGGGATGGGTCTGATCATGTGGGTATTATTTGGGTGCTGTGGATGTTGATGACAGGGACAGTTACCCATTATAAAGCTGGTGGAAGTCAGGCCTGGTCTTCCCCCTACATTGCCCTCGTTCTCTGTATTACCTTTGCGTCTTTTACACTGGGTTATCATTGCTGACGTCAGATAGCTCTTGTCTGAAAGTAGAGAATTCCAGAAGGATGTTTATCTGTTTTATTGATTATGCAAAGGCACTGACTGTGTGGATCACCACAAACTATGGCTGTTAAGAGTAGGAATCTTAGAACACTTGATTGTGCACATACAAAACCTACAGCTAGACCAAGAGGCAGTTGTTCGAACAGAGCAAGAACAATGCATGATTCAAAATCAAGAAAGGAGTACAGGGCTATATCCTTTCCCCATTCTTGTTCAGTCCATATGCTCGAGCAAATCATTCAAGAAGTTAGACTTTATGCAGATGACACAACCTTGATTGCTGAAGATCAAAGACTGCAGCCTTCAATATGGATTATATCTCACTGTTGGTGTTTTGTATCACAGTCAGAATCAACCCATACCTGACCCTCTGGCAGGTTTTGAGACACAGTTAATCACATGGGAGGAGATTTCCCATCACCATAAGGAAAAAAAACCCTCACCACTAGGTCAACAGGCAATATCATGCTAGAAAAAGATTGACATTGTCAACTATTTCACCTTTCTTGGGTCCACAATCAACACCCGTGGCACCAGCAGCCAAGTTACGCTGCATTGGAAAGTCTACTCTCAAGGACCTCTCTAAAGTTCTAAGGAGCAACAATGTTCAAGACTAAGGTGGACCTGATTCAATTCATGGTCTTTTCGATTACTTGCTGTGCATCTGAAAGTTAGACCATGAATAAGGATGACATGAATAGATGTCTTTGAGTTGTGCTGGAGAAGAGTACTGAATACCCCAGGGACTGCCAGGAAACAAACACATATGTCTTGGGAGAATACAACCAGGGTTTTCCTTGGAGGCGAAGACAGAAAAGCTTCATCTCGCATACTTTGGGCATGATGTTAGAGTCAGTCCTTGGAAAAGTACATCATCTTTGGAAAAACGGAGAATCAGTGAAAGACAGGGAGGAAGACTGACACAATGACTATAATAATAACAATGAGCTCCAGTCAGAGATGGTGAGGATGGTGCAGGGTACGGCAGGGTTCAGATCTACGTTGTTCATAACGTCACCATGAATCTTACTTGCTTCAATGGTACCTAAACTGGACCCAGCTCCACCTCTTTTCTGGCTCAGGTGTTGGCACGGGCCTTTCACCCAAAATTCTATGAGAAGTGAAATTTTCTCTATGCATTCTTTTCTTATGGGTCCCACTCTTCCAGCTTATGGAAACTGTGGGCTAGATCAACCTTTATTCAGGGCAGAACAAGGCAGAGAAAAGCTAGGGGCCTAGGATCCAGAAATGACAATTAGTACTTTAGAATTTAATGGGGGGAGTTACAGAGCTTACTGCAGTCCCTACCACACCCTAGGATTCAGACAGTCCTCTCACCCTCCCTGCTAAGACTGGAGTCTAGTCCTCCTCCTCCTCCTTTCCCCCTTAGGCCTTCTGGGGTAACCCAGTTAGATGATGCTGAAAGCAGAAAGGAAGCAGAGGCGGCAATGAGGATCAAAGTTTACTTTGGGGAAAGAGACAGGCAAAGAGGAGTGGGTGCTCGGGGCGTGCCCCTCAGTAGTTAGCTGTGTAGTCTGTGCCATGCAGTCCCCGGCACAGCAGTGTGAATTCCTTCACAATCTCCTTCACTCGCCTCCTGTTCACACGCTCACTAAAGGAGGGAAGGGAGAACAGGTTAGCACCATCCACTACTTCCATCTCCTCCTCCTTCATACCCTGAGGCCAGGTCCACTCCAACTGCGCTCACCGAAGGATCTGCTGGCTGAAGGTGGCCTTCTCTTCAGGGGTGAGGCGGGCAGAGGGAAAGTGAGGACGCTGCAGGATCTCCTTAATCCACACGCTCAGGAGGCTGAAGCAGTGTTTGTTCAGGACGAATATGATGTCGGCAAAGCAGTCCATTAGGTTTCGAGAGGCCTGGCCCCCAATGGCCTGAAGGAGAGAGGCTCTCAGCACCACTGAGGCCTCTCTTCTCTGCAGAAAAGGTCCCTGGACATCTGAATGGTTTCCCAGCTAAACTGGATATGACAAATGAATGCTGCTTTTTCAGTCAGCTGGTCCTCACAACAACCCAAATAACTCCATCATTTATTAATTGAAAATGGAACAGAGGATGAGAGAGCTTAGTGAGCCAAAGGCTTGTGTTCCCTAGGAAGCTAGCTACCTCAGTATGGACGGCAACCCCGATCCTATTTTAACCCTCCCTCTCCATCTCACCTCTAGCACGGTCAAGAGCAGCAGCTGGCCATCTTCCTGTACCACCTTTCCTATAGGTTCGATTTCCCCACACCGAGGCAGGAGCTCTGTCTGCAGAGGATGGAGGCATATCAACCCAGCTCCTTTCCACCTCTCCCCAAGGACAAACCTGCATACCAGACCCCTACTCTCTAGAGTCCTACGTAGGGAAAGGTTGGGTGTGGGTGACAGGAGTTAGGACAAGACTTACAAATAAGTTACAGGAGGCCTTGATAGTGGGCATCTCAGGGAACTTAAGGGCCAGCACAGCTGTAGAAGAAACAAGCAGATCAGGGATGGCCAGAGGATCCAGGGAGTTAGGAGGCCCAGGCCCACCTGTATACCTGCCCCACTTACCACAGTGGAATACACCTTGGACATCCAATCGTTCACACAGGAACAAATCTGGCTTCCGCTTCAGAGCCTGCAGGAGGTGGAGCTGGTAAGCCCAGCCCTAGCCAGTTCCAAGGGCCACCCCCACCACTCACCTGCCACCCTAGTCCCCAGTTCTGTGCATCCCAGGCAAAGGCTGCCAAAATCAGCCACCCAGCCAACTCTGGGAGACCCAGACTAGCCCAGAGTCCAGCAGGCCAGCAGTCAAGCAGCCTACATGATATTCTGTACATGTTTATGTATATGAATGCACAGGTGTATGTAAGGAACACAGGAGAAGCTGGGAGTGGGCACTATGCAGATATATGTTCCAAGTTTCCCCCTGAGCAGACAGCTCCTCCTCCCTCCTCCTAAGAAGGATTAAATCTCCTGCATGTTCCAGGTACTCAGCAGTGACTTTGCCTTGATTCACAAAGGCATTCAAGGACCCCTGGGTTGGCTAAGGGGAGGTAGACAGGAGACATGGAAGCTGGACATGGAGCCTCCAGTCCAACAGCCTCTCATGTCCCCCTGCACTCAAATGGCACTCTCCAGCTCCTGTTCAGGAAGAGGGAAAGCAGGGTAGGAGCCCTGGAACCCCAGCCCCACCTTTTTACCCATGACACCTATATTCAAATTGTTCTCAGTGAGTGAGACCCCAAAAGTCAGTGCTGACACGTGTGGTGGGAATAGGTGGAGCAGATGAGCCATCCCAAGTGGTACCAGGAAAGGACTGGCATACTCTCAGGTCACAGGAGATACTCTGCACAGCTCCAAGAGTCCTCAAACACTGTCCTTCCCAAGCAACCCCCCAATGTCAACACTCCAGTGTGTAGCACATAAGATCTCTAAACCTCCAGTCCCTTACATACTTTCTATCACCAAATTCACCCATGCAAACATCCTCATATCTTTACTTTTAACACTCACTCATCCTCAAACACATCCCTATCACACACCCCACATACATCTTCTCCCCACTACATACTCACACATTCAAACACCCAAACCACGTCCTCACACTCATATCCTCAACATACCAATTCTCCAGCATGTTTACACTCTCCCAATATGTACTTGTTATGTACTATTGTGTTGAAACCGACTCATAGGTGACCTTCTGGTTGGTTTTCAGAAACAGTAAATCACATGGAAGGAGAATATCCATCTTTCTCCTGTAGAACAGCTGGCAGATTCAAACCATGAGCCTTTTGGGTTGGCCTTACCACTAAGCCACTAGAGCTCAACCCATTCACAAATACACTGAACATTCTTCTCACCGCCATCCAGACCCCAAAGCACACTTCCTACTACTCATTTTTATCCCTGAACAAGGTTGTAAATTTCAAGATAGCAAGCACTGGGCCTGCTTTGGCTCCACATTATATCCTCAGCACTTAGCAGAGGAACAAGGATGTATTACACACTTAATATTTGTGGAATAATTAAGCAAAGACTCATCATATCCCCAAACCCCCTGGATCCCCAACACACAATCCTCCCCCACTGCTCCTTCCACACTCCCACCACTCAATACGTGTATTTTTCAAGACACACATACACTAAGAGAGACACATACAGACATACTAATGCATACTTCACATCTCAACACATATCATTGTCCAAAATTCATCAGTGCCTAGCACACATCAACACACACAACATGTATTAAAGCACCACACACATCAATGTACATACCTGCACTCAATCACACACTTACCCCAACACACCAAGCATAGCACCTATACTTTTTATAGCAGTTTGCTGATTTCTGTTGCCATTCCAAACCAGACTCAAAACATAAAAATGAACTTTAACACACTGGAGCACACATCAAACACAAACACATTCTAACATGTTCTCAAATGGAACGTGCTCCCCACTCCCAGCAGCAGCACCCCCTTCTCCAATAGCCCAACTCTGGGCTCCACTGCAGCATATTCATCTTCAGCCTCTCTCTTCGGAGCTCTTCCCAGTCTACCTCTCGGGAGCAGGCTGGGGGCTCTGAGGCAGGCAGTTCCCGGCAGGAGCACGGGGACAGTGAAGCCCAGGCCCTTCGGCTCCTGCCCTACCCTTGAACTTCCTGGACAACCCAGCCATCCAGGAGCTGCTGAGCACAGTCATCACTGTTCCTACCCCAGTCCAGCCCAGTTCCCGCCCTTGGGGTTCACCCTCTCCCTGGTCCTTGTAGGTGACTGAGCTAGTTGAGGCAAAGGGGCGCTAAAGGAGGATGTTGGGTTGTCAACTTCCACGGAAACAGATGAATAAACTCTATTCAACTGAACAGAAAAAAAATTTGTCAACAGAAAGCTAAAAATAGGCTTAAATTGAATTCCAACATAAGAGAAAGAGAAAGAGAGAGAACAGAACGTGAATGAATAAAACTAAAACACACCTGTGCCAGGAGTTGCATAAATGAATCAACAATATCAGGATGATCCCTGGGCCCTAAAATATAATAAAGATGGAACTTAAGAAAAAATTATACAAACAGCAACTCAACCTCATATAGTTATGTGGGACTGAGAGCCTGCAGGGAGACAGCGTGGGGGCACATGAGCAGCAGGAAGCAAGATAAAGAAACAAAACATACAAAAAACCATGAACTGGGAGAAACCCAACAGAAAGAGACGGTAAAGTGAAGGACTGGCCTGCCCCAGCTCCCTCCCCTGGGAATATTCACCTACTTCCCCCGCCTTAGGCCAATCCCCCCAAGGGTTCCTTTGGTGCTCCAACAATGGACCCCACACAGCTAGAAAGAGAGATGGCCTTCAAGCTCTTGTGGCCTCTGGCAGGCTGGCCCCTACATCACTTCCTAGTATAGATCTTCCTTCATAAATCTGTGAGGAGCAGGGTGGGGCTGATGGGGTGGGGAGAGTCAGTACCTCCTCTTGAGGGCTGGCAGCTGAAGGCCCCAGAAAGGCCAGGGCAGCAAGACCTGACAGGTACACCTTCAGGGTTCTTGGTCTAGCTAAGGAAATAAATCTACTGCGTCCTCTTAACACCAGAGGATTCCTTCCTGAGTAGGGCAGTGTGTTGTAAGGGTGGCCATGCAAGCTGTTGGCAAGGCCTAGGGAAGGAAATCTTTTAATTAGCTGGATCATGAGGTCAACAATGAGAGCCCCAACCCAGCAAAGCCCCCTCCACATAGATTCAGCAGAGAGCCAAGCTCAAGGCTAAGGATCAGCTGCTGCCACCTGGACATGTAAAGGCCTCGTCAAGGAAGGGGAAACCACTTAGCACATAACCCCATTACCTAGTGGGAAGGCAGAGCCCAAGGAAAGGAGGCAAGGGGGCCACCTTGTGCAGTAAGACAACCAACAAATCCAACACATATGTTGGCCACCATAGTGCTCCAGTTCTGATGGCTCCCATGGAAGACCAAGGCACATGCCTGGAGCTCCTGCCTGGACTGCTCCACCCTTAGGAGGATGACATGCATCCTCTATGTGCACCACTAAGTAGCTGTGTGATCTTGTGTGAGCCACAATGCTCAGTTTCCCCATCTGTAAAGTAGATTATAATCACAGTTCTATTTCTTTCTCAAGGCTCTTAGAAGGAGTCACTTATAAAGTCCATCGCTTTCACCTCTGAATTCTGGGCTATTGAAGTTCTTTCTGGAAAGTGCAGCACAATGATGCTGGAATAGGTGCTAAACAGGAGGTACAATGTTCAGAAGGTGGGTCAAACAGTGAGAAGAAAGGTTCTGAGGGTGAAGAGCCCTTATCCTTATTTCAACAATGTCTACTCTATGCTGGCCTCTTCCTGGGCACCAGGGATACAGAGAAGAGACTGTCTTGGCCTTGAGGAGCTTAGTCTAGGGAGAGAGCCAGACAGGTGCAAATGATACTGTATTAACTGTGTGTCCTTGAAGCAGTTTTCAGCAGTGAGTTACAATTACCCAACTCTGACAAGTAAAGGGCACAGGACATTGCAGCCAGGGAAACAAACATGTAAGGCACAAGGCTCAAACGGAGCAGTGTGCTTGGGCAACAACAGGAGAGATATTGAGAGAAATTCAAGAGTTACATAATGAGGGTAGGAGTGTGGACTTATCCTAAGGCCAATGAGGTATAATGAGAAGATTTTTAAGCCAGGGAGAAAAAAAGCTCAGAATTGTATTTTATAAAGAACATTACAGCTGCACTATGGAGAACGGACCGGAGAGGAGGGCAGCGGCCAAGGAAACTAGTTAACAGGTTGATGGAGTGACACAGATGAGGCCCTAAATCAAGGCAGCAGCATGGAGAGTGGAGAGAATTGGAAAGATTGGGGATAATCAGAAGGCAGGGTCAATGAGACTTGCCCCTGACCAGGTAAGAGGTATGGGAGAGGTAGCACTCAAGAGGACTACCCAGGTTTATGGCTCAGGTCTCTCTCCAGCCTTGGTCTAACCCATAGCCCACAGTGGACCAGGATCAGCGGACCAGCCACAGAGAATCTGAGCAGGGGATATTTTGGGCTCTGTTTGAGGCCCTTGGTGAGTCTCAAACTTAAAACCACAAATTCAGGCAAGACTTCTAAGGCTGGCTGAGCAACACTGCTGCTTCTAAGAGCTCGGAGCTGGGTGTAGGCAGAAGGGAAGCCTGAAGAACCCTGGCTCCCACCTCCTTCAGGTCAATGGGGACACCATGGGTACTTAATTGGCTTTTCTTTTTTTCCAATGATTTTTATTTTTACTTGGCTTTTTATCTTAAAAGGAAAAAGCCTCAACCAGCACCTGGAGCATTTTGTATGCAAAGTTCCAAGCAGGTACCCAAAAGACGCTACTTGAATTCCTGTAGCAAATCCTGTCATATACATGGCGTTTCCATTTCACAGATATGGAAACAAAGGCTCAGCTAAGTGATTTGCCCAAAATCACACAACTAGTTGGTGGTGATGAGGTTAGAACCTAGGTCTGACTTCAAATCCCACATCCTTTCCCCTTTTCACTATATTCAAATGAAAAAGAGGCAGCCTGTTTCCCCAAATCCCTCAGAACCTCTGCCCACCCAACCCCCTTCTCCACATCCAGGTTGGCTCTGAGTCCAGCAGGCAGGTAGAAGACATCATTCACCCTCTTGTCCACTCCAATCTAAGGCGTCAACTATTTATAAGGCAATAACTGTGCTGTGCTTGATCCTATGTTTCTTTTCCATTAGGTCCCATGTGTGACACAGGGGACAGAGAAGAAAGGGTAGCTATGGCTCCCCAGTCAGGGAAGCAGAGGCAGGGGCAGTCACGGCAGCAGCAGAGACCCTGGCCAGGACCTACCTTGCTGGAAGAGAGTCAGTGTGACGGAGGTGACGAGCAGGAAAAGGGCCTCAATTGGAGGAAAGTGGGCAGGCTCATGAGCAAAGATGTGGACCAGCTATAATAAAGCAGGGAACGCTGGTCAGCTAAGGCCCTCACCTCACACTAAGTCAGGTCAACACGCCTAAGAATTCAGGTGTAGACCCCAACCAGGGCAGCCACCCACCCTACCACAGTCCATGCCTGGAGAAGCAGGCAGATCCCTGACCAAGATGAAATCCAGAACACCGGCTGTCCTGTCCAGAAGACTCACCTGTCTTGTGAGGTCAAGAGCAGAAGCCTGGGGAATAGTGCTATACATCTGACCCAGCATCTCACACAGCTGAGGCACCATGGGAGAAAAGTCATCTAGTAGTGTCTTGACAGACTTCTCAAAGATGGCGCATACCGCCTTGGGAAGAAAGCAAAGGGGCTCTGGTTAGCTAGTTGGTTATCGGGAACAGTGTTAAAACCCTGAAAACAGGAGGACTATACAAGAACCATTACTTATAATCCTTCCCTGGCACTGAAAACCAAGAATTAACAAATGTAACCCTCACAACAAAAGGTTAGGGCAAGAGAGCACAAGACATAGTAACTTAACTCTTGCTACTTACATCTCTACCATTTCCTCTTAGGGACCAGCAATAGCAACAAAAGTCTGAATTTAGTATGACCTAAAAAAGGCAGGTCTCTAATACTTAGCTGTCCCTGAAAGTTACACAGCCCCATCATCACGGTCCTTTGGTCTAGCATTTCCTGTGATCCAGCAGAGTTCTAAGTGCATGATCTTTCCATTTCCTCCAGATCGTCACAAGCAGAAGTGGAAAGCAACAACTCCTCCTGCTCAACCCAAGCTGTCACCACAGGACAGGTAGCAAGGATCGGGGCTCACCTCCACCACCTGAGCATCATTCAGCCAGTTGCTCAGCACCTTCTGGATGAGCTGGAAGACTTGTTGCAGTACCAGCACCACCTGGAGACACAGGGAGAAGTGGCCCCCACCACTACTGTTACAAACCTGGGAACAAAGTGTGGGTTCAAACACATTACCCGAGACGGCATGCTGAGGCTCAGTGCAATGGAGACGGTACTCCTACTGGGTAGGAGTTGTCAGTCAGCTGAGTGGCTCATGAACAAGTGTAGAGGCCACACTGACTCCTGGGGGTCATCTCAGAGCAAAGTAGATTCCTCATTAGGACTCTGGTGAGTATTACATGAGATTTTTTAAACTTTGTAAATTTAAAATTAAGTAATACAGTTTCCATAAATTCCTACTCAGTAAAAACTTGTTAGTGCCTAGAGGCTAAGAGATTATCTTTGAGAAAACGAAGCTGCTGTCTTACTGCAGACAGACTGTGCTAAGGAGCCCAGTGGATGTGCAGACACTGGCAGGTGACAGAGGAGCAGTGGGGAGACCAAAAATAAAAATCAGGTACCAGGCACAGTCCTCTTTGGAAGCAAGAATGATGAGGCTTTGCCTCACATACTTTGGGCATGTTGCTAGGAGGGGCTATTCTTTGGAGAAGGACATGATACTTGGAAGGGTGGAGGGGTCGGTAAAGGAGAGGAAGACCCTCAACCAGGTGGATTTACATGGTGACTGCTGCAATGGGCTCTCGTGTGTCAGGAAGTGTGATGGTGGCTCAGGACAGAACTGGGTTCAGATCTTTTATTCATAGGGTTGCTATGAGTCGTACTTGACTCGACAGCACCTAACAACAACAGAAGAAGGGACTTTTCTGTAGCTGGAGGACAGTGGCTCAGGCTTGGTTTGGATCCAAAAGAGTAACTGAAACTGGGATGAAGAGTTGAACAGAGGAAGTAGGATGCCTGTGACTTCTCTTTTCTTCCTGTTCTAGCTTCCTTTTCTCCAGGAAAAATGCAGAAAATGGTCAAAGCATTCCTTATACTTCTTGGGAACGTAACAATACACAGTCCTTTCATTCAAGATCACATCTTAAAATCGGCACAGTGAGGTGAGCAAGTCAGATATTCTTGTCTCTATAATTTTGACGGACTGACGCAGTGACTGTAACAATGGGACTGAGGGTAGGGGAAACTAAGGATGGCACAAGACGCTGTTCAGAGAGTCACTCTGAGTTGTGGTTAACTCGATAGTACCTAATGACAAGAAAATAATTTTGAATAGGAAGCTGAGGGTTTATCAGATAAAATTTGTAACACTTTGTAACAACCTGTTTATATACATTTCCTTTCAAAAAGGAGCAGCTCAAAGGCAAGAACTATTCTGTGGTGAATGTGGGAGTTCCTCATTATTTTGTAGGACAGTGAGTGCTGAAGTAGAATCCCCTAAGGCATCAGGACCTGTTATAACATCACTTGCAGGATCGAAGGACAATGTCAGCATTCCCCATTGAGGTGAGGAACCCCAAAGACATCAACCCCCAACAGGTTGAGGACAAAGACATCATTTACAGAGTTGAGTAAGACGACATCATTACTACAGATCTGGGGCAATGTTAAGATTATTCACAAAGTCAGCAGACCAAATGACATCATCACCATGAGGCTAGGGAAATAATCACAAAACCCACAGAGTTTGGAGTTTGGGTGTGACAATGGCATTCCCACAGTGCTAGAGAAATCATGACAATGACAGTGTCACCCACGGGGTTGGGTCCTTGTGGCACTGGCAGCTTCCGGAGCTCAGGGCCTTCATTCTCATCCTCGTGGTGACTGACGTCCAGTGTGGTGAAGAGGTTGGAGAGAAGCCCCAAGATGTGGACAATGGCCAACTTGTTGGAGGGATTGGGCTGTGGAGAGAAGCAAGCCAAGCTCTAGATTCCCCAACCCCAGCTTGACCCTGACCCTAGTCTTGACTGCCAGTTTCAACCCACATTTCAGCATGCCCACATGGAGCTGCCCAAGTCCAAAACCTATTCCCTGACACTCTAGAGTTCACTCACTATCTCGTCTGCCAACTTCTCCAACTGCTGGATATAGGGCGAGATGAGAGAGTGCAGGTTCTTAAGGATCTCCTCCACCTGTAGAGCTGACAGCAGGAAGCCCAGCGCCTGCATCAGCCACATGCACTGGCTTGTCTGTAGGGTAGAACACGAAGGGTCGGTTACATCTGGCTGAGGGTGGGAAAAGAATAGCCTCTTGGAGAAGTTTCCGAGAACAGAGAATAAGGAATAACAGGGAGGGGAGGGCAGAAGACATCTTTTCTGGGTTAAATAAATTCCCATAATATCCCAAGGGAGAATTTCACAAACTTTTGAGTCATACCTTGTGGATCTGTTTCATCAGCACATCCTGGAAGTTAAGAGAGCATGGTATCAGTGTGGTGCGGTGTGCCCTGGGCCCAGCACCACCCAGTGCCGGTCCACATACCTGGGAGACAGCCACAATGTTGGCAGCATAGGGTGGCAGGTCATACCTGCACTCTCGGCAGATCTTCTTGAGGGTGGACACAGAGGATATGGAAAGCTCAGGATTGCCCAGGGCATGTAATACGAGGGGCAGAACGCTGTTGATCATCACAGGGTGGTCAGCCAACCACTCAGACAGAGCTCCTAGGGGAAAGAGGCGGGAAGATTGCTGAGCTGAGTGAGGCCAGCTGAGACCTGTGTCACTGTGAGGCAGGCAGGGTTCTGGGGGGTCAAGCTGTAGCCCCAAACAGGCCAGCTGTCCTAGCACTGAATGAGCCTGCTCAAACATGAGCTCATAGTTAATAAGCAGGAAGGAGTCACCAAACATGGGCCCAGAGCCATGTATCTCCGAACTGTGAACTGGCCTTACTGAGGTGGAATTCAGTTAAGTAATAGAAAGACTCTAAATACACCAAAACAAAGCCAGTTGGCTGGAACATTGGTTACATGTGTGAGAATGTGTGCTTCTCCATGCCAATGAGTCTCAGCCAGTTGGCTAGGGTAGGGGTGGGTGCCCACGGCTAGAAATATAATCAAGAGTGTGAACTAGGTCTCACCGATGGTAAACATGACAGTATCAGCCAGCTGCACATTGCTGATATTGATCCGTGGAATGAGGCCAATGAGTCCGGGCACTACGTCAGAATAATTGACATCGATGGTCTCCGCGATGGACTGGAAGCCGTAGAGCAGGGCCTCTGTTTGCTGGGGAAAGAAGATGCCTCTGGCTTGGTTGAGGAGAAGGGTGTGATGGGGTCTGGGAAGGTTGAGGGAATCAGGCGTGGGAAATACCTGCCAAGAATAGGGCTCCTCTGAGCTGGTGAGCAAACGGCCCAGCTTGTCATAGAGGTTGCTGAGCAGCTCATTCCCCAGCATTTCATAGACATACATGAGTGTGTCTGAAATGTCCACCCTGAGAAGCAGAGAAAGGCCTTACACACTACCTGAGTCTTGCCCTCAAGCCCACACCACTGCCCACACAACCCTTGCAAAAGTGCTCGGAGAATAGAGAAAGGAGTCCCAGGATTCACATAGCCTAGCTTTGGGCCCCTCCCCTCACTGCTTTCATCAGAGCTAGGGTCAGCCTGTTACCATCACCTGTAAATTCGGAACTGCTCCTTCTCATCTGAGGACCAGGAACCATATTCCTCATCAGAAGGGAACTGGGCTTTGTGTAGAAGTACATCCACCAGCTGGAAGTAGACCGGCCGGTATATCTGCTGGTACATGGTCTGCTTATCCATCTCAAAGGACAGGATGTCATCCTGAAGGAACCAGAGAAGAGAGTTAGCCACTTTGCCAGCAGTCACAGATGCTCATAATCCATATTCTTCCACTACAGCTCAGTCCAATTTTCGATCACACAGACACACCTGCAGCGTGTACCAGAATGTGAGGGTTAGGGAGCTGGTGGTCTCATTGACAGGATAATGGCCAGGGATGCCTGTGCAGAACATAATCATGTTGACAAGTGCCAGGAAGCTCTGCCAGTGCTCCACCTGGTCCAGTAAGGCCCTGCAGTGAGGGGAAGGACATAGTAAAGTCATTCCACAGCCCCATCTCTTAGAAAGCCTTACTCTCCCACCCCCAGCTGTTCCCACTCCTCACCGGGAATGGTTCTCGCCCAGGGCCACAGCAATACGACAGATGCCATGGGAGGTCTCCATGTCCCCATTTTGCACAGCCTGTCGCAGCTGTTCCTGCAGTCCCAGCACCAGTGGGATAAGTTTCAGGAGTGTGTTCACATACCTGGGAAGCACGAAGCAAGGAGACCCATCAGAGTCGTCTGCCCCATTCCCCAGCACTTTTGACAGAAAGGTACAGCCTCCTTGCCTTCCATCAAAGCCATCCTTCTCCACATCAATTCCTAAGGAAAAAGGAGGTCAGGGCCTACATGGCAGCTTTGATTCTGCCCATGCTGGGAAGAACCTTAGGTCAGGGATCTCCAGAAGAACTCTTGGAGGACACAGGAGAAGGTCAGTGTCAGAAGAGACTGAGCTGGAGTTGTTGTTGTTGTGTACTATTGAGTTGGAACTGACCCATACCTGACTCTGAAAATTCCAGTGGGTTTTCAGAGCTTGTAAATCACATGGGAGGAAACTTCCCATCCTTCTCCTGCAAAGCAGTGGGTGAATTTGAATCATGTGCCTTTGGGATTACAGTATAGTTTCTTACCACTAAACCACCACAGCTCCCCTGCAGTAGAGCAGGAGACTAAAAATTTAACATAAAGTCAGGAGTCTTGGCTATAAAATTTTAAAAGTTCAAAGGCAATAACAACTGTGACAGTCACAGTCCTCATCATCTACACCACCAAATCCTAATTCCTTTGTAGTATGGAAGAAACAGAAAGGGAGAAGCACAGATGATGAACTCAGAGAACCAGGAGGTGAAATGACCAGTTATCAGGTTAAAGAATACCACTATGTACTGAGACCTGAAAGGTTAGGTAAGGAGCCCTGGTAACATAGTTATTGTTACATGTTGGGATACTAACTGAAAGGTTGGTGGTTAGAACTGAACCTGCTTCACAGAAGAAAGGCAGTATATTCTATAAAGATGTATAGCCTTGTTGGAGGGTTACCATTGAGTGAAATCGACTAGAGGGCAACACATTTGTTTTTTTCTGGGTTAGGAGGGTGGAGGGACAGCGCAGGAGGGGAAGACCCTCTATGAGATGGATTGATTCGGTGACTGGGGTAATCGGGATGGGTGTGTCAGAGGCGGTGCGGTTGGCGCAGAATAGAGCAGGGTTTAGAGCTGTTGTGCATAGGGTTGCTATGAGTCGGAAACGACTCGATGGCACATAACAACAACAACAAGGAGAGATATAGAAACATTTTTTAATTTTTTTTGAAACATTTTTAATGAAAGGGAGGAAGATGATAAAATCAGTACTAGGTAACTGATTCAGAAGTACCTGGGTGGGATCTGTTGGTGGAAGTGTACAGAAAGAAAAATCCTGAAGCTCAGCAGGAAAGATAAGCAAGAAATGTAGAGTTGAAGGGAGCTCTTATAGCCAACCTTGTGGCAAGAAGCTGCACTGTGATCCCAAAGGTATGCAGTTCAAGCCACCAGATGTTCCCATGGAGAAGGAGGAACAATCTCCTCCTGTGTCGGTTGGATCTGACTCAATGGTACACAACAATGGAAAAAAAAAATAAATTTATATATATATATACACACACACATATACATAGAGAGAGAGAGAGAGGTGTGTGTGTGTGTGTGAGTAAGTGAGTTGGAAGTCATCTGAAGAATTACGCAGGGACAGAGCATTAAATAATAGGAAAGAAGAGAGCCTAGATCAACGATCCATAAAGGAGGAGGAGTGGGAGCAGAGGCTACAAGGAAGACTGAGTGCAGACTTCCTCTATCCAATGTACCTCTCCAGGAGACTACTCTGCAGAGACTACACTAGGCACAGGAACAAAGATGATGAGTCACTTGAGCTGTTTCTGCTGCCAGTTACAGTGTGATACCACAGCAATCCACGGAGGGAAGGGTCTGATGCTCTAGAAAGAGTTCTGTCTGGTCTTTCCCCAAATAAGTTGCGAGGCAGATAGCTTCATAAAAACTCAGGGACAATGAGAAGAACAAGTAGAGGCAACCAGCTCAGGGAGGCTAAACCCTTCTCCATATCCCCAGGCACCCTGATGGGAAAAGGTATCCATACTGGGATACCCCTCAGAGACAGCCCCAGAGGGTGCTGCCTGGAGCCAGCTGGGATAACTTCAGTCCCATGACCCTGACACAGGCTGTACCACTAGACAATGGGAACCTTCAGACCAGACTCTGACACAAAGGCAAGATGCAGGGCCAAGGCTGTGCAGTCCTAGTAACCGAGAGGGAGGCAGGAAGAAGGTGCCCTACCCACAGAGCATGTCCACTGGGTGCCAAGGCTCCCTCACACCTCCTAAGGTTCATACAGTGGGTACTCAATTAAGGCTCTTAATCGGTCTCATCTGAGCTTTCTAATAGGGTAAATAAAGGACAACACAGCTCACAAGGTCTCAGCGCTACTCAAGATCACTCAGCACAGCAGAGACAGAGAGATTCCAGGTTGAAACAGCCTCTCAAGCTGTTTGCTCCTCTTCCAGGGAGTAGCCTGAAGGTCCCCAAAGAACCCATACAGAGCTGAGCCCATGTCCTCACTCTCCTCTGTGGGAGTCTATAGGAGCCTGCCTAATTCACCTTCTGTCTTCAAAACAAAAAACTAAAATCACTGCTATCAATTCCAGCTCAGTTCCAAGAGCAGAACTGCCCTGTAGAGTTTCAAAGTCTGTAAATCTTTTTGGAGGAAAACTGCTTCACTTTTCTCTCATAGAAGGTGGCGAGTTTAAGACAAAGGCCTTAACCACACTACCATCACAGTTCCTTTCTGTCTTTGCTTTCCCATTAAAAACGTTTCCAAACATTAAGAACCCATTTCAGAAAGATAAGAGGGTTTTTTGTTTGTTTTTTTTACGGGGAGGGGAACAAAGGAGGAAAAGGGTGGCCCTTAGTCCTGACATCTGGAGAAGGCAGTGCCTGGATGATGTAGGATTAAAAGCCATTAAAAATGACTTTTTGAAGCTGAAGCACAGAACTTAAACCAGGCAGAGCAAAGCCCATGGAGCTGACTCAGCTGAGTGCAGCACAAATGGATTTCTCACACCTGGGCTTCTGTGTCTAGGGCCTCAGAGTGGACAGAAAGACATGCCTCAGGTTCCAAAATATCCAGGATTGAGGGATGGAGACAGGAAGGATGTCTTTAGACTGAGGTCAAGACGCTGAACTCGAGTGGGTCATCAAGCAGCCGGGGGCAGGGCTGCTGGGACTCCTTGGCTGCCCGCTCACACAGAGCTCAGCTCAGACCTGCAATTAGAGCTTCCAGGAGCAGAGCTGAGAAAATGGGAAGAGTTGCTAAGCAACCAAGGGGGCTGCAGCCAATGGGCGCCTAGGAGGCTGTGGGTTCCCTCACTGGCTCTTTGCTCACTCATTGGTTAAGAGGAGAAGGGGCATCAATTACCTGAAAAATACCCCAAGAGACCTATGGGGTGGGTAAACCTGGATCTAGCCAGGGATACTCCATATTACCCACCCACCTTGATGGCTCTGGCCAGTTCCCCTTGGCTACCAATCTATTTCAGCCCAGCTAGCACTCTGAACTTCAGGCTGGCAAGAGAGGTCTCAACCTGGGAACTGATGTCTACTTCAAGCTGAGAAAACTGGAAAAGGATCATACTAACTGCCAAGGCAATGACACCAAACACTAGCAACCTTGGCTCAGAGAGTGCTACCTGTGTGCCAGCAACAACGTGAAATCCCTCACAGACATTTTCATATTTGACCTTCATACCAAAATATTATTGAATACCACAACTAGGCTTTATGTAACCTCCACAACAACTCCATGAGATTCACATATGACGAGATTAAAGTTTAGAAGTGACTTATCCATGGCCTCAAATCCAGTAGTGTTCTATCTGGGATTCAAACTCAGACATTGGCCAATGATGCGAGCTGGGCAATGGGCAATTAACCACTCCCTCACGTGATCTCTTTCCCCGGTTTTCTCCTAATTCTGTCAACGGCTTCCAAGCCTCTTCTTTAAAATATCAGTGACAGGCTTCCAGGTTAGCCCCTTCCAATCCTCCTGAATGTGTGCCAGAATTTCCACCAGGCTGTTTTTCTATACTTAAAATCCTTCAGTAACTTTATATCATCCTAAGGATAAAGAACAAAATCTTTGGCTGGGCCTCGATCAACTACCAATCTGGCCTTTAAATCTTGCTGTTTCATCACACCCAAAGGTGTGGCGCTACACAGCTCCCGAGGCCACCCGGTGCTCACCATCTCTCTCCTGCTCAGGTTCTTTCATTTGTCTGGAATGGCCTTTCCACATCCATCCTTTCCATCCGGCTATCTCTTACATAGTCTTCAAAGCCCAGCTCAGTTGTCACCTCCTCTAGGAATCCTTTCACAACCTCCAGGTGGGTTCAGTGCTTCTGAACTCTTATAGCCACTGCTTGAGAGTATCACACTGATTTCAAGGTGAGCTCCCAAGGCACAGAAGACACACCCATTTACCTGACACATAACAGGTGCTCAACAAACGCTTACTGAATACCTATCACTAGTTCTACCTTCTCTTTAGTCCTTCACTGAGCTGCCCACCACACCCTCGCACACCTGCTGTGCTCCTTGAAACCTGAACACTCCCTCCACCCCTTCTGTCACTTAGGCAGTGTCAACTTTTCATCCTTCCAAAATGTGGAGTGCACCATGCACCATGATGAAATAGTTTCCCTGAGATGAAAACGAATGGAAAGACATACATTAATTTATAATGGTAAAAAAAAAAGATTTTTATAAAAGATAAAAAGGAAAACTACCAGGAGGTCTGGGATAATATAATAGAAACGTAAATCTTAAAAATCATTAAGGGTGGCAAGAAGCTGCACTGCAATCACAGAGGTAAGCAGTTCGAATCCACCAGAGGCTCTGTTGGAGGAGGGACAATCGCCTCCTGTACCAGTCAGATCTGATTTGACGGTGTGTACACACACACACACACACACACACACACACACACACACATCATTATGCTGTGCTCTGAAGGGTGAGGTGGGGAGGGGGGAATGCTACAGGCAGAAGTGACGTTTCAAGACACAGTGGATGGTTCAGAAGTTGGAAGGAGCATGAATTTCACAGAATTGAAAAGACCACGAGAGTGCTTAGAAAGCAAGGAGCATGGCATGAGATGCTAGATTGTACAGCATCTCTGTCAGTCACACTAAGGATTCTGAAATTTATCCTAAGAGCACTGAGAGTTACTAAAGGATTATGAGCAGAAAGGAAATGACAGATCCTCATTTCAAAAGATAACTCTGACTGCTGGGTATACAACGAAGGGTCTTAGAGTAAAAACCAGGGACTGGTGAGAAAGCTCTGCAGTAATCTGTGAAGACAAATGATGACAGCTTGGACTAGGGTGGCAATTGTGGAGATGTAAAAAAATAGCTTGACAATATGGCCTGGAGACAGAACAGACAGGCCATGGTGACTGACTGGGTGAGAGAAAAAGAGTCAAATACTTTAACTGAATAATTGTTTAATGTCTGTCTCTTTCTCTGAACCATTAAGTCAGGGACCAGGTCATGCTTGCTGTAACTACAGCATTGGATCGGGCCTGTAATGCTGCTATTGTTTTTGTACACCACAGAGTCAGAAGTGACCCATAGCTGACCCTCCAGCAGGTTTTCTGGAGGCTTCGAACCACAAGCCTTTAGGATCGCAGCGCAGCTTCTTGTCACTAGGTCACCAGAGCTCCCTAAGCATGCAATAGACATTCAATTAGTATTTTCTGGACACAAGAATGGATGCTGTGGAGCTGGCCAAGCAGGCTGCCCCTCTATAGGAGGGCGGAGAACAGCTTACCTCTGGGCATCTGGCTGTGAGATGGCATTAACGATTGCTTCCACACTGCTGTCAAAGAGCTCTGAGTCTTGCAGGGTAGTGAAGGCAGCTTGAATGAGTGCCTCACAGTCCTGCAGTGGCACTTCCAGCTGCACCCAACTGGAGAAGCACTTGAGTACCTTCTGACGCACACAGCTGGGGGAGCTGGGTTGCTGTAACAGCTGCTCCAGCAACGGAAAGACAGCTCCACACTCCACCACCAGGCTGGCCCGCACCAGTCCTTTCCGGTATAAGGACAGGCGGCTGGTCTGGAGCTCCTCGGGCAGCACTGTCAGTAGCTCAAGCAGGGCCAGGCAGCGGCCCTGGCCATCCACTGGTGAGTCCTCAGCTTGGAAAAGCCGTACCATATCTGCCACAGCACATGGCCAAGTGTCAGGCATCATGCTGAGAGCCAGCGAGGCCAGTGCTACACAGAGCCGAGTCAGCACAATCTTGGAGCCACTAGCAAAGCGGGTGATCTGAGTAAAGAGCTGTGCCTTTAGGCTTTCATACTGGTCAACAGGGATGTCACTCCAATAGCGAGAGATCTTGATGTGCAGGGCACTGGCCCCAAAGTACTGGATCTCGGGCACCTTGTCAGGCTGCAGTAACTGCCAACTGAAGTGCCAGGCCTGTGGGGAGACCTGGGCCTGCATCAGCCACCTCTGAGCCAGGTTCTTGTTCTCAATGTTGGGGTCATAGTAGAGTTGGTGCAGTGCCTGCAAAACAGCACAGGACTGAACAGATACTGGCCCCTTTAGATCTTACCAGAGCCCAGAACAGACAGTGTGATTTGGTCCTGCAAGACTTCTCCTCTCTTCGATTGCAGGGCTGAGCCAGGAGGAACTCCGGGCTCTGCAGTATTTCCTGGGTCCAGGGTTCTGTTGGTATTCTGAGAGCCTGAACCTCACCCATACTCTATCACAGTCTCTATTTGAAGTAAAATGTTTAAGTTGAAAAAGAGAACCCAAAGAAAAGCAGGAAAATAAAAGGCTGTGATCCCCAATAGGATAGCATGCGAGGTAGCGAGTAAGGTCCAAGTGGAAGGAATGACTCCTTGGGGAAGAAGCCAAGCCTGAGAAAAGCAAGGAGCGCACAAGGGGGCTCTGACCCAGACACAGCTGTTCCCATCAGCTCCGACAGTTCCATTTAGCTCCCCCAGGATCATCCCTAGGTCACTCCAGATGCTGGCACCAAACCCAGCTTGAAATCTGAGCAGGGCTTAAGACTTTGCCAGGCAGACTGGGACAGAAGCATTATAGCATATTTGAGGGTCTAACAAACTAGACCAGAGACGTCTAGGCCTTAGCTGCAGCCCTGGAAAATGTCTGGCCTGGAGCTCTCAGCCAGCAGAATCTCTAAGGGTTCCAATTCCATTGGGACTTCATGCAGTAAGAAAACAGTGCTTTATCTCCCTGGTAGCACATGGCACATTGCACCACCCTGTCAACACTGCCCAGCACTAGGGGGTGAGAGAGTAAGGCCAGTACCCTGACCCCTAAGCAGGTTCTAGCCTAAGCCTGGCCCCTGCCAGCCATTTATGGCTACTGTCCCTTGTTTAGGCCCCGAGTATGCTGAGGAAGGTAGAGAACAGAAGCAGAAGGATGCATTCTCATAGTCTGCCATGGCAAGTAGGACATAAGATTAAGGACTGAACTGTCTGCAACCAACTCCTGCTTCCTAATGAAGTAGCCCCAGGCATTTCCCTATTTGGTCCAAAGGGCATGTCCTGGAGACAGAACTCAGAAAAGAACCAGAGAAGCAGAAGGTAGACTAGGCATTGGGGCAGCCTGGGAGGGCCACAGTAAGTAAGAGGCTATGTGGGACATTGAACAGGGAAGGATCGAGTGAGGTTGCCAGCAGGGCCAGGTCCCTTGGACATAGCACAAAATAAAGGCAACAACCCCACTCTCATTTGCCCAGGACCCATTCTCAAGGAAGAGCAAGAGCAACCCAGCCTTCTTCTAATTTCAGGTGATTTTTACGAGCCTTGAGTGCATCCAAGTCAAGATCCAGGATGGTCCAGCATAAGGATGGTTCCCAGGAACCAAGCTGTAGGTGTGCTAGGTTCCTGGTTTCCTACTGCACTGCTCAATCAGTTCCAATGGAGCTGGAGCATAGCCAGTCTACCCGGAGGTCTAAGCCATCAGATTTCTGGGAGCACCATCCCGAGACCCTAACGAGTCTATTCACAAGGGATCTGTGTCTAAGGAAGGACAAAAATAGCCCATTAGGACACTGCAAAACTGCTGTCCTGCCTGCCCGGAGAGACAGTAAACGCCAGGTGCTCTGGGGGCACGATCCCAGCGGGCACTCAGCCCAGGCCTAGACTCTGGCCTTGGTGTTAGTTCCCAGAACTTTTGCCCTGTCACTGGAGTGCCCACCCCAGAGCCCTCATACCTTCTCCACGTTCTCCACAGTGAAGGCCAAGGTTGGTGTCGCACCAGGCCCGGGCTGCTGCTCCCGCCGCTCCATCTTTGCTCCCTCCATCGGAGGGACTGCTTCTCTCCGACCACAGCACCTTGGCTGTTGACCCGTGCTAAACCCCAGCTTGGGTACCCAGGGAATGGTGAGGTGACGGGGCCCCCAAGGCGGACATAGCTGCCGAAGGCTCCCCACTTCGCTAGGGGATAAGGAGTCTGGCCAAGATTAAAGCGGGTGCTTTTAAAAGGAGACCAACTGAGCGAGACTCCGAGGAGCTAATAGCCGCCTGAACTATTAGGCAAGGATCCTAAAGGGTAGGTCACAGCACGGTCTTCAGAATTTGTGAGAGAGGCTCATGAAGGTGGGAGGCCTGCAAAGGAAACCGAGGCCCGGAAGGAATCAGTGACCTGTATCTACACCTTCGTCTAGGAATGCTCTCGGTCCGATCAGGTCACGAGGGCAGGGGGTCACAGGGGAGAGAGGCTTTCGCGGATTATGGAGGTGTCCAGGGAAGGGCAGGGTTGCAGCTTCGAAATGTGGGAGGATGAGTTGATGGAGTTGAGGGTCTGTGGTAGGTCCTTTCCGTTTGGCCTAGCCCACGTTTGCTCACCGCCTAGCTCCGACCCTGCTACCGCCGATGCCTCCGCCCCAGTGACTGACAACCTAGCCGGTCCAGCCGGGACGGGGCGGGGACCTTAGCAAGCCGCAGGCTGCCCTGAGCGCCTGTCCTCGCTACCGCTGACTTAAGTCCCCCATGCCGGCTCTGACCCAGCCCGACCCGGCACAGCCCAGCACGACTCAGCGGAACTGCAAAGAAACTCATTCCGGGTCTTTGGTCCTGTCCTCGCGCCAGCTCGTGTGACCTCGAGCAGGCGACAGAGCAGCGCGCCACCCGAGGCCCCCGCCGGACCAAGGCCCCGCCGCTGTGCACTCTGGGAAGTGTAGTCCGTCGTGCGTCTAACCAGAGGCCGCGCCTGGCGGTGAGGCTTGAAGGCACGTGGGCCGAGGTCCGCGAAGTCAGCGAGCGGTGGGCCTACCGCAGACAACCGGTAACTTTAGGGAAAGCCGGCGGGGGCGCTGCGGAGCAGATCCAAGGATGATAGAACTCTTAGCGGTGGATGGCTGAAAGTGGGAACCCGAGTTGGAGGATTAGTGAGCCCAGCTCGCTCTGGTTGCTCAGTTGAGGGCGCATCTAGGGCCCAGGAAAAGTGCCATCTGATGATGAAAAGGTGTCAACAGCACTTAATCCTTGGAGTGATTTAGCAATTAAAAATGATGGCCACCTCAGAAAAGCAGAAATCCACCTACCATGGACAGTGCACTCAGAGCATACTATGAGTTTTGTGTTGTTGGTTTGTTATTTTTTTTAAACTTAACACTATCTCCAGTTTTTATTATTATTATTAATTTTAATGAAAATTTACAGAGACTTTGGATTTCCATTCATTCATTGTTGCACTTTTCTCCCTGCCCACCCCTCCTTCCCCCCCACACACACCGAGTTCGCTCTTCTCTTTGAAAAGTAAAAGAAAAATTCTTTCATTGTTACACAATCCCTCCCCCCAAGTCCACTCCACTATGCAGACTTCGTTCTGGATTCCTGTCATAACAATAATACCTAATCATATATCCCTTTTAAACAGTTCTCTCCCCTGCTTCAATGCAGTATACATAATTTATCCCATTTTACTCAGTCTCCCCCCAATCCCGATGTCAGTCCCATTATACAACAGTGACACTATGCAGTATCTGTTCTTTTGTGACTGAGATATGTCACTCAGCATTATGTCCTCCAGGGTCACGCATTTTGTATAATATTTCATGAGTTCCTTGGTTTTCAATGTAGCGTAGTATTACATTGTGTGTATATACCAGAGCTTCTCTATCCATTCGTTTGTTGATGGGCACTTAGGTTGTTTGCAACTCTTTGCTGTTGTGAACAAAGCCGCAATAAACATGGGTGTGCATATATCTGCTTGGGTGGCAGTTCTGGTTTCTTTGGGGTATATTCCGAGTAGTGGAACTGCTGGGTCAAATGGAATTTCTATTTGCAACATTCTGAGAAAGCGCCATACAGCTTTCCATAGTGGTTGCACCATTTTACACTCCCACCAGCAGTGAATAAGGCTTCCAGTTTCTCCACAACCTTGCCAGCATTTGTTGTTTGCTGTTCTGTTAAATTTTGCTATTCTTACTGGGGTGAGATGATATCTCATAGATATTTTACTATGAGTTACTTTTAGGTAATAATTTCTCTTTCTGGGTTCATACGTCAGGCTAGAGACTAAAGTACCCCTAATCTAGGACATGTTCTTCGCAATTACTTGCTATGCATCAGAGAGCTGGACAATGACTAAGGATGACAGAAGTAGATGCCTTTGAATTGTGGTGCTGGAGAAGAGTCTTGAACATACCATGGACAGCCAAGAAAACAAATAGGTCTTTCTTGTAGAGGGTGAAACCAAGTTTCTCCTTGGAGGCTAGGATTTTGAAACTCTCTCACACATACTTTTGGCACATGGCCAGGAGGGGCCAATCCTTGGAGAAGGATATCATGCTTGGAAGGGTGGAGGGCCAACGAAGGAGAGGAAGACTCCAGATGAGATGGACTGATACAGTAACTGGGGTCATGGGGGTAGGTGTGTTGGAGTCAGTGAGACTGGCTCAGGATAGGGCAGGCTTCAGATCGCTATGGGTCACAGGCAACTCGATGGCACATAACAACAAGAACATTTAGATTAAGAGTTGTTGTTAGGTGCCCCCGAGGTGAATGTAACTTATAATGACTCTATGAACAGTAGTAGATCTGAAGCTTGCACTATCCTGTGCCATCCTCCTAAATTCTTGGATCTTCCTATCTTGCTGACCCTCTTCCTTTCCAAGCATGGTATCCTTTTCCAAGGGCTGGCCTCTCCTAAAAACATGCTCGACATATGTGAGACTAAGCTTCCAAGGAGCACCCTGGCCATACTTTCTCCAAGACATATTTGTTTGTTTGTTTGTTTGGCAGTCCACAGGATATTCAGTACTCCAATACTACAACTCAAAAGATTTTTCTTCTGTCATCATTAGTCATTGTCCCTTTCAGATACATAACAAGTAGTTGAAAAGACCATGACTTGAATCAGACGTACTTTCATCTTTAAACAACATCATTGCTTCGCAACATGTTAGAGAAGTCCTTGACAGCAGTCTTTCGCAATGCAGCATTATCTATTGATTTCTTGACTACTGGTGCCAAAAGTGTTGACTGTGGATCCGAGCAAGATGAAATCGTTGACAGCTTCAATCTTCTCTCCATCTATCATGATACTGGCCCAGTGGTTAGGATTTCTGTGTTCTTGAGTTGAGATGTAATCTATATTGAAAGCTGTAATCTTTGATATTCTGTAGCAAGTATTTAAAGTCCTCAGTTTTAGCAAGCAAGGTTGTATCATCTGTATAATGCATAATAAGGTTTGTTGACAAATCTTCCTCCAATACTGATGCCACACTCTTCTTTGCAAAGTCTAGCTTCTCTCAAATGATTGAATATATATGGAGAAAAGATAAGAATAATTTACCTTTAATTGCTAAGAACAGTACTTGCATATCTTATGTCTACTTTCTCTCTCTCTCTCTCTCTCTTGCTCTTTTTAGGTCCACTTATTTCAGTAGCTCAATAGCTCTGTGGTGGATGTTTTTTTGCTTACCAGATGCAAAAATGGAATTTAAGGAGGGTTAAACATATTACATTTTCCATCATTCAAGAGATCTGGAGACATAGAGCATTGGGAAAATCTGCTGTTAGGAACATCTCCAATGTCCTAAAAAGCAATGATGTCAATTTAAAGACAAAGGTATACCTAACTAAAGTCATAGTCTTTCTAATCACCTGCTATGCATCTGAGAGCTGGACAATGAATAAGGATGAAAGAAAAAGAATCAATGCCTTAAGTTGTGGTGTTGGAGAAGAATGTTGAATATCCCATGGACTGCCAAAAGAACAAACAGATATGTCTTAGAGAAAATGAAACCAGAGTGTTCCTTGAAGGAAGGATGGTGAAGCATCATCTCACATAGTTTGAGTGTATTGCTAGGAGAGGCTATTCCTTGAAAAGGGACATCATGCTTGGAAAAATGAAGGATCAACAAAAGAGAGAAAGACTCTCAAAGAGATGGATTGACACAGTGACTGCAGCAATGGGGTCAAGTGTGTCAAATGGTAAGGTTGGCACAGGATAGGACAGGGTTCAGATTTGTTGTTGGTAGGGTTGGTACGAGTTGTACTCAACTTAATAGCACTTAACAGCAACAATAACAAACATCTTGGCAGTCTGAGTCACCTTGATGATTAAGTCTTTGGCAATCATTTTTTTTAAAAGCATCTCTCCTCTTATGAGTCACATCAGGTGGCAGAGTGCTCCCACAGTTCTAACCCAGGCCTGAGTCCAGCAATCCCTGTGGCAATGCTCTGCTCTCACTATTGGTCTCTTTAACTCTTGCTGTCTGCTCCAGCAGCGAGAAGGGGGGTGTGGGGGGGGTGTGCACAGGTAGAAGTTGGACCCCTGATGAGATGGATTGATTCAGTGACTGGAGTAATGGGGGTAGGTGTGTCAGAGATGGTGAGATTGGCACAGGATAGGGCTGAATTTAGGGCTGTTGTACATAGGGTCTCTATGTGTCACAGGCGACTTGGCACATAACAGCAACATATAGAGAGAGATAGAGATAGAGATATAGAGGGAGAGAGATAGATAAGAGAATAACTTTTGCACTTAGGTCTGGATTAAACCCTTGACTCTGACTCTGTCTCTTTCAAGTCCTGACTCCTTGGGTTCTTCTGGGGTTTACTTTTCTTTTTAAAAAAACAACTCCAAAACCTAACACAGTAAGTAATTCATGAATAGATGTTGACCTAGAGGTCACTACTTGGTCAGTAGGAGTTGTCTTCCTACTTCCAGTCCAGAGTTCCTTCTTTTTACCTGGAGTTCCTGTGGCAGAGATAGAAACCAAGGCTTACCCTGAACTTGCTTCACAAGTTCTCTTGTTTCACAAACTTAGCTCTGGAACTTGCTTTATAAACCTCATCTGAGTCAGATGGATTAAAGTAGGCCCCATTGTACGATGTCAAACCAATTCTAACTTACAACAACTCTACAAAACAGAGTAGACCTGCCCCACAGGGTTTCCTGTACTGAAATTTATCGGAGCAGATTATCACTATTTTTCTCCTACAAAGTGGATTTGAACTAAGGGCCTT